AGATTGTTTTTATACTCCTAGTCTTCCACTCAAATAAGTTGTTTTGCATGAAGTATCATTATTTATTGTAAGCAATTTTACTTTTGATGACAAAGAAAACATTTGTTTGAGATTTGTCCGTGACTCCGTTCATATGGAGGGCCCATTTTCTATCACTCACCCAGGCATAAAATGTCAGGAACGAGTTTTATCAGGAACTTGAAATTTAGGGTCACCCCTTTTGTTACGTTGTATTGGGTTTGCTACTTTTACAATTAGATGAGTTGTTGCCATTGGGTATTGTATTGTAATACAATGTATGTGTAAGTTCCAGCTACTCCAATGGGCATAATGCCTGTAGGATAGAACGTGTGCATGGCGATATTGGTAAATCCCTTGCATAAGTATTTTTGCTATAGTTTTCTGCATGTTTCAAGATTTATAGCTTTGTGATTAGTGTATATTTGATGGTTCTGGCTTATAACATGACACTATGTTACCATCAAGTTGGAGCGCCTGCTCGTGTTGGATTAGTGGCTCTAGTGGATGTGGTTATTCCCCCTGGCAACACTGGTCTAGATCCCTCTCAGACTTCTTTCTTCCAGGTTAATATTTTTAATTTATATGCTCTATGCATTCTATGTATCCTCTTGAAGTCTTTCCTAATATTGAATTACTACTGTTCAGGTCCTTAACATTCATCCGATGAGGAAATTTATGCGTTAAGCACTTACCAGGTAAGTGTTTAGTAAACGACCCTTAAATGTGTTAATGTTAAATAATGTTGCAGGATCTAAGCAAGTTTGTTGTGGCTGCTCCAGTTGCTGCTTCTAGTGGTGGTGGTGCTCCGACAGCAGTTGCTTCTGCTCTAGCTAAAGAAAAAAAAAAGGAAGAGCCAGCTGAAGAATCTGATGATGACATGGGATTCAGTTTGTTCGATTAGTGAGTGATCTATCTTCTCCTTATAATGTAGAATAGCTTATCAGAGAATTTCTTTCGTTTTGTTTTTGTTCAAGTCTAGTGWTTATTATGTTTTTGTTGAAATGATGTGTTGTCCGATATCATTGAAGAGTATGAATTTGGGAAATTAATTTTAGTATATTGAATTTTGGATGATTCTAATTGATCTATTTTGTTATGGGATATTATTATTGGTTAATAATTATATATAAAAGTAGAATATATTTTGAAACAATTATGTATACAACCAACTTAAAACAGCAGTGGGTTAATAACTGATCTATTTTGTTGTGGGATATTATTATTGGTTCTTTATTATTAATTTGTTCATGATTAATTTAATATTATTTTTTAGTTTAATTTTATTATAATATATATATATATATATATATATATTATAATATATTTTTTAGAGAAGGAATTAATTTTTTCAAAGTGTAACTAAAGATAATTTTTAGAGAAGATTTTGAGTTTGTGTATCTAAATATCATATTTAGAGGAGATTTCGTAACCGTAACTAATTAGGACTTTTAGAGAAGGTTTTTTAAAAGTGTCACTAAAGCTAATATCTTTAGAGAAGTTTTTCCATTATTTTCTCTAAAAGTATCTTTTAGTAACTCTTATAAACCGTCACAAATACTTGAAAAGTGTCACTAATATATATACTTTTAGAGAAGCTTTGAATAGAAAGTTGACTAACCTTTAGAGAAGTTTTGAAAGTGTATCTAAAGCTTCAAATAAGCGTCTCTAAAGGCTAACAAAAACACACCCTACGAAAACCCTCTCTAAAACMTTTACCTACCGTCACACAGAGAAGCTCTTTGACAAAATTGAAAAGCTTATCTAAAGGTTTTAGAGAAGCTTTTAAGACTTTTAAGTACAAAACAATACCTTCTCTGAAGGTCATTTTTCTTGTAGTGTTCGCCCCTTATATATGTATGTATGTGTGTATATATACGGTTCAAATGGAAATTATTCGGATAATGTCCGTATAATATATTGAATATATGTTATTGAATTGACATTCTTGTATAGGTCCAATGCAATTTCGGTATGGTAATTATATTGATAACGTCCCAGCATTACAATTGGATCCRAATTCTTGGACAAAGGTATGTTTGTGCGCCTAACTCAAATAATTAATCTGCTTTCGTATGAAATACATTGTTGAGTTACATAATTGGTTTTGATATATCATCTTATGATGAATTACATGTATATCCTATGGGATTTTAAAGGTGGCTAATGTGATATATCTGGATGCACCCACATTAACCGGATATTCATATACAAAAACCTCAAAAGCTATTCGTTCGAGTGATACGTTATCGGCATCATAGACAGTTGAATTCATAAGGAAGGTTAGTGGAAGTTCAATATATACCTATCGAGTAAGTTCGTTCATTGACATTTATATACAATTAATGCAGTTTGTTAGGGATCATCCTAAGTTTTTAAACAATCCTATGTATGTTACTGGAATTTCTTATTCTGGTATTGTTATTCCAATCATTACCGAAGAGTTGTACAAAGGTATAATATATTTTTTTGCTATTTATTTCTTCAATTTGTACAACCTTTAATGCAATAACAAAGTTCACCCATAAATAAAATTCTATTAAGGAA